CAGACGCGTCTGGGCTGTCTGCTGCCCGCGTGCTCCGCCGCTTTGCTTCTTCTCCCTGGTCTGCTGGAGACCAGAGAGATGGGCCCTGTTCGTAACTGCGGATCTGACGTAAGTCGGATCCGCGTAACTCGGGGACTGCCTGTATGTAAGAGTTATAAATATGTACCTGTGCTTATGCTGGAAGATTCTCTGTCTGAGGCAGAGCAATGGGCAAGGAATGTTCAGTCAGTGTCTATGCTAATTAGCAAGTTCTCCCTGGTCTGCTGGAGACCAGAGAGATGGGCCCTGTTCGTAACTGCGGATCTGACGTAAGTCGGATCCGCGTAACTCGGGGACTGCCTGTATGTAAGAGTTATAAATATGTACCTGTGCTTATGCTGGAAGATTCTCTGTCTGAGGCAGAGCAATGGGCAAGGAATGTTCAGTCAGTGTCTATGCTAATTAGCAAGGTTCCAGGGACAAGGCTCTCAGAGAAGTAAATACACACCTGAGGAATGTGTCTGGGACCTGCAAACCAGTCAGTATCTGATGACTGCTGCCTTAGGACACAGGGATAGGTCACTGGGCCATGTGACCTGCTCCAGCTTGGAAGATACCAGGGATGGATATAAAATGCCACGAGGTGGACTGGATCTTGCCTTCAATTCTGTTACTGATTCCAGATGCAGCCTTGCAAGGAACAGTGAGCTGGGAAGAATCGTTGGCCCATCCTGACATAGGATGTACACCAGAGACTTTTAAGATAGCAGTTTGTAACATCTCTGCTCAAAGCCTGCATCAGGAACTTGGTGATTCGATGCATGTAATGTATTCTCCTTAACAACCTTATTCTCCACATTTTCTTTCTTTTATTAATAAACCTTTAGATTTTAGATTCTAAAGGATTGGCTCAGCGTGACCTTGTGAGTAAGATCCAGAGTGTAAATTGATTGGGAACTGTGGCTGGTTTTTTGGGAAAGACCCATTTGGGGTAGATGAGACTGGGTTCTTAAGCTTCTCAGCTGTGTGCACGACCTGTGCTATTGTGGCGCAGGGAGAGCTGGGATGTCAGAGGGGTTTTTCTTGGTATGACTGGTTTGTGACCTGTTTGGGAAGGTCTCTCGTCAGGGGCTGTAAGGATACCTGAGTTTGAGCAATTCACCCTGAGAGGATGACCTCAGCAGTGCCCAGACCCAGTCTGGTCCATCACATGGTCTCACCTTCTTCATCTCCTCAAAGGTAAGGAAGAGAATGTTGAAGTCATCCCTGTGGGTGAACCAGCCTCCGATGTGATCCAACCATGAGCCAGAAACCACTTAGGAAGGAGAATATGTATAGAAATAAATGTTAATGATCTCAAAGAGAAAAGCCATTCAATTATTGGCATGTTTGCATCCCAGAATGCTCATCAGCAGAGCTGACCATGCAGAATCTAGGGAGCATAGGTCCTTCTTTCTGCTTTTTTCCCCTTCTGCTGCTGGAGGGATATTTGGGCTCATTGAGATATTATTCCCGGTCTGTTATTATTCACAATCTTTTCCTAGTTTACATTCACCTTAAACATGAGATACAGACCATGCCATGTCCATCTTCTAATCTGGGTATATGAGAGCAGCTTTTATTTTTTTCAAACTGACAGTTAAATGTTAACCAATAGAGGTTGCACTTTTACCTCTAGAACCCACTGGCACAACAGAATTGTACTGTCACCTGGCACAACATATTTGCATGTTCATGTTCTGAATAATTACTCATAGATTGTATTGGTCATCGCTTTTGATGGATGAATGATCCCAAGCCCAGAACCAAATTGATAGAATTTATTAATCTGTGAACATAGGACCAGCAGGGATCATTGTGGTCATATAGCCTGATGTCCTCTATAATGCAGGCCATCGAATTTCCCCCAACTAATTCCTAAACACATCTTTTAGAATAACATCCATTCTTGATTTAAACATTGTCAATCATGGAGAATCCATCACAAGTCTTGGGAAATTGTTCTAGTAGTTAATTACACTCTCATTTAATAGTTTTGCCTTATTTTCAGTCTAAATTAGTCAAGCTTCAACATCCAGTCACTGAGGGCATGTCTACACGAGCTCGTTAATTCAAACTAGGTAGGCAAATCAGGCAACCGGAGTTGCAAATGAAGCCCAGGATTTAAATATCCCAGGCTTTATTTGCATGTTCCCGTCCGGCCGCCGTTTTTAAATCCCCCTTAGTTCAAACGAACTGCCTGCGGCTACATGCTGCAGTTTAAAGTTAATTCGTAACTGTTACTCCTTGTGGAATGAGGTGTAACAGTTAATCCGAACTAAGGACTTGGTTTAGATTAACTTTAAAGTGCTGCATGTAATCCCGGGCTTCATTAGCAAGTTCGGTATGCATACATTACCCCGCTAGTTCGAACTAGCGGGGTAGTGTAGACATACCCTGAGAGGTTAAAACCTGGACACATTGGCAGGGTGCTGAAGAAGGGTGATCTCACTGACTAACAGCTGGAGAGGAGTCACACTGCTCTCTCCTGCCTGGCAAATTGTCCGTAGTAAGGTGCTACACTGGACAAAAGAGACAGAGGATTCAAAGCTTAGGGAGAAACAGGCTGGATTCTGGTCTGAAAGATCCTGTTCAGAGCAAATAGTCGCACTAAGGAACATCACAGAAAAATGTGTAACATTTATTTTACTATGAACTTAATTTTTCAGTGTGGCACAAACAGCACTGGTGAGAACTCTGCATTGTCAGCGACATCATGAGAGAACTCAGGAGCTAGATGGGCAACAGCTGAGTCTTTCAACTCTTTGGAAGTATAAGTACGGGTTGTACCTCCAACATCTGGCACTCTCTAGTCCAGCAACATCTCTGGTCCAGTAGGACCACAAATGCTCCTGGCCCAGTGAGTCTGGGAGACTGAGGGCAGGAGGACCAGCCGGCAGGGCATCAGAGGTGGGGGCAACCCAGGGGCAGTGCGGGACTGGGACTGGAGCCCCAGACCAGCATCCAGCAAGCCACAGCAGCGTGGGGCTGAGGCCAGAGCACCTACAACAACCACCAGGAGCACAGGGTAGGAGCTTCTTGGCTGTATGGTGCTGGGGTTCGAGCCCAGTGGTTTCCCATGGCTACATGAGGTTGGGACTGCATGTGGCCAGGATTGAAGCCCCAGTCCCCCGCAACAGGAGTCTGTAGTGCCCAGAGAGCCAGCAGTAGCTGAGGAAGCAGCCCAGCCAAGTTGCAGGGCAAGTGCGAGGCAGGGTTGGCTGCTGAGATGGACTTGGGGGTTGGTGGTAGGGGACCTCCCCTGGTTTGCAGATTTTCTCATTTGGGACTGGTCAGGTCCCAGTGAAGCTGGACCACAGAAGTCCAACCTGCAGTGGTTTGGGATTGAGGAGTAGGCAAAATAGATATGGAAATCTATGAAACTAGAAAGAGAATGGTAGGAAAACACTTCTGTGTGGTTCAGACTGAACTCTCAATTGAAATACATGATGTGACTTGACTTAATTGATGCAGTGCACATGACTATGCTGTTTCCCTGCCATTCTTATCACATAAAACCTTTATTGTGAACTGTGGGTGTCATTGCATTCACTGCAGCCTTTGACCCCCAGCTGTGAGTGGGCACCAGGACTTTGACAAGCTCCACCTTCTATGTAATTTATCCACAGAGATAGCTTATATGGGCTGTGGTTGAGGAGGAGGTCATGGCTCTTTAGCTATAAATGATGCCTTACCTTTCCCAGCTAAAAACCTCTCCAGTAAAATGTTAAAATCTGATATTGTCTCGAGTTTGGCAGCAAGCCTGGAATAATGAAAATAGGAAACCACGACATCCTTAGGGTTTCTGGCAACATAAATAACCTGCAAGGTAAAAAGAGTGACAATCTCAGATGTATTACATGGACACAATGAACCTAAAAATCTGTACGTTTTATACAATTGCTATTTCTGCAAAGAACCCTTAAAATCCCTGCATTTGAAGAGGATTAAAATGCTAAAATGCATTGTTGCCCACCTTAACTAATTTTACCAACAATTTGGATCTGAGAATATCTGAGAGCTAAGCAGAGGGCAATGCTGTCACGTTACTGGATTTTAAGGGGAGCAATCAAGATCACTGCTGCACCCATGGGGTGGGTGCCCCAATCAGCTGAACCCGTGGGGGGGGGTGTGCCCCGAAAGTGTACAAAGGGGGCCATGTGAGGTGTCAAACAAAAGCTTTCCTTCTACCGATTCTGTATATGCTGTTCATGTAATTGTATAAAGTCTGTATGTGGAGTTATATACATGTTCTCTGTATGGATGCTGGAAACCTCTCTGTCTGTTACATGTACTCCATATGGATGCTGGAAACCTCTCTGTCTGTGGTTGAGCAATGGGCGAGGAACGCTCAGCAGTTCCAGTAAAAATGGGATCTCCACGGAAACTGGGCACTGGTGTCCTGAGGTCTAGCTTGTACTTAATTCCCCCTTCCCCTTTTGCAGGCTCTCAGGACATAGAATAAGGCTTTGGAGGAATGTGAACCCCAACCGTATCCAGGGGAGATATGCTTCTGCAAGGGTTGTTGTAGGAATAGCAGACAGTCTGGCCCTGAGAATTCAGGCTGTTTTACTGTGGAAAGCCAAAAGTTTTCCTGGATAATCTTAATTAAATTGTGAAAATAGGATCACCTACTTTTCCTCTTCTGTTCCTGAGATCTCTTGGAACTAAATTGTGAGGCAGGTGAGTAACAAAGAGACGAGGTGATGGACGATTGACATAATCCATGTTATTTATGTTATACTCCAGCCATGGAACTCTGTCTATTACATTTATATTTTCTGTTCCATCCCGATGGCCTTCATGATAAATCAGGCTCAAAATATTCTGACTCCACACAGTTCCTGGGAAAGGAAATAACCTTATTTAAAAGAGTTTTCATGCTAAATTTGTTTTAATGTCATGTAATAATCTGTCATGATCATGATCTCATCAAAACTGTGTTTCGTCTTGCATTATAAAAGAAATATAAAATGTGTATGAAAGGGACATTAGTGCTGCCGGGATGGGAATCCAAACAGAATTATAGCTTGTTTCTAACACTAAAAAGTACAAAAGTTATCAATCTATTGATCAATCTAGCTTCTAGTCAATAACCAAATTTTCAGATATATTTTACCTAGGGTATTTGCGTTCCCCATTGAAAGAGCAATTATTACAGATTTTTTTTCTCCCTCCTATAGTGCCTAAATGATGCAACAGTGTAGCTCAGATGTATTAAAGCCACTTACGTAGAATAAGAAATAATGAAAAATGATGAATTAGAATTATAATATTAAGTTCATTTTAGTGGTGATAGTATCATTGTATTTCCTGTGTTTTACCCTGTAGGCACCCTTCATAATTAACTGTTGCAAAATATGCATCCAGGGAACTATCAGTGCCTACCCCAATGCTGTGGCAGGAAAAGGCCAGAGAAATCTCTGAGGGTATGTCTACACTACCCCCCTAGTTCGAACTAGGGGGGGTAATGTAGTCATACGGAGTTGCAAATGAAGCCCGGGATTTGAATTTCCCGGGCTTCATTTGCATGAAGCCGGCTGGCGCCATTTTAAAATGCCAGCTAGGTCGGTCCCCATGCCGCGCGGCTACACGCGGCACGGACTAGCTAGTTCGGATTAGGCTTCCTATCCGAACTAGCTGTACGTGGAATGAGGCAGCAGTTTATTTTCTGCAGGGGGGTTTCTGCTTTTTACCTTTTATTTGGCCATGGAGCCTGAGATGCCCCATGGCAGGCAATGGCCCTACGCTGCCATACTACAGCTTCTGCTGCATCTGCATGATTCTGTCATGAATCTCCTGCCCCATATGGACCCAGACTGCACCGAGGAGACCCTCCTCTGGGATACAGGAACTCTGTACTTCCCCCCAAACTTTTTTGGGGACAGGCAGATTTGGAGGCACAAGACAAGTTTGGACTGGTGGGACCGGATGGTCATGATACTCTGGGACGATGACCACAGCTCTGCAACTTCCGGATGTGGAAGGCCACATTCCTGGAGCTGTGTGCCTGGCTCGGCCCTGCTCTGGAACACCAGGACACCCACCTGTGGCCTGCCATCCCTCTGCAGAAGCGGGTCACAATTGCCCTGTGGAAGCTGGCCACCCCCGACAACTACAGCTCTGGGGGACACCAGTTTGGCGTGTGGATGTCTTCCATCATGGCCGTCTTGATGGCGGTAAATCACTGTCAGGGGACAGGCCCTGCTGAGTGGGAGGGTTGAGAAAGGGGGACTGCCAGGCAAGGGCAAGAGGGAGTGGGGGATGGAGTGGCACTCGAAGGCCGCTTCTCGGCCACCCCTGCACTGATGCAGGGAAGGAGGGTGTCCTGACAAAGGAAGGGGTGAGTTGGTGGGGGAGGATTCTCCTCCCAAGCGCTTAGGTAACCTGTCTAACTCCCTGGTTCTGTCTGTCTATTTGTCTCGTGCTGCACGTGGTGAGGGCTATCAATGTGGAACTGCTGAAGAGACTCATCTGTCTCGGGGACCTGGACAACATCCTTGCTAGGTTTGCCCCCCTTGGATTCCTAAACTGCGGAGGAGCCTTCAATGAGACACACGTCGCAATCCGTGCACCTCCCCATCGAGTAGCCCAATTTATAAACCGGAAAGGCTACGATTCCATGGTGCTGCAGGCGCTGGTCGACCACCAGGGACACTTTAAGGACATTTGTGTCGGGTGGTCGGGGCGGGCACATGATGCTCACATATTCCAGAACTCCTACCTGCACTGCAGGTTTCAGGCAAGAACATTTTTCCCCCAGCGGCACCTTGCGCTCGGGGACGTGCAGCTGCCGGTGTGTATAGTGAGTGATTGGGCAACAAAATGGCAAATGAAATTTAATGTGGATAAGTGCAAAGTAATGCACATCGGGAAAAATAACCCCAACTATACGTACAGTATGATGGGGGCTAATTTGGCTACGACAAATCAGGAAAGAGATCTTGGAGTTATCGTGGACAGTTCTCTGAAAACTTCCACGCAGTGTGCAGCGGTGGTCAAAAAGGATACTGGGCTAGATGGACCTTTGGTCTGACCCAGTACGGCCGTTTTTATGTTCTTATGTTCTTATGCCTAATTATAACTCTAAAGCTCTAAATAGTTCGCAATTCTCATAGACTGGAATTGGTATTATTCATATTTTAAGAAAATATATCACTGTCATATCTGAGAATAAAAATTGGATAACCGGAGTACACATAGTTGGTAGTTCATCTTGAATAATGTATGACAGGATGGGGATCAAATTTGAATGGTTGGGAGACTGTGTTTAATTAATTTCAAGTCGATATGGGTCTCCCGGTTGAATCTGAATTTTTGTGTTCATATGCAAATTCATTAGTATAAGCAGTCACACCATCCTCCCTTTCCATCAGCTTATTGTTCCCAAAATATTGCTGACATAAATGGTTACACAAAGGAGAATAAAAATAGTTGTCTATTACAAAAACAAATAGACATGCTGAATTATAATACAAAGTTGTAAATAGCTTTTAACAATATTTGCCAAGTTCTAATACACTTTGCAAATTATCTCTGAAGTGTTCAACTTTTGCCACTGCTTAAACATGGGGATGAACTGAGACAATGTCTCTAATAAATTGGTGGCAGTTAAAAGATTTTACACTTCTACCACCAAACATAGACCATAATGGTGATCCATAAGGAGAAGGGCCCAATAAAGGAGCCATAAAAAAGTCAGAAATGAGTTTCCTATAGAGAAACAAGCAATCAGGCTCACCTGATTTTGGAAAAGTAGCCACAAATACATCACTGTCTCTGATTTCAAAATCCTCCAGTGAATCTATGTATTCAGCTGTGGTAACGTCTTCTGCAAAATAAGTTCCTTTATGTTTGAACATATATTTATTTGATGGCTCCATTGTTCATTCAGTTTCTCTCGTGTCAAGAATCTGCAGAGTAGGTAACATAATTTTATATCATTTTTACTTTGGTGTTATCTATTCTTCAGGACAAAATTTTTTTATCCCATATACAAAACCAGATCCCATTAGCAAATTGAACAATAGTATGTAAATGGCTTTTTAGGGACTGACATGAGAATTAAATATCTCTTGCAAGTAAAAGTGCGGTGTAATGTGTTGTCTTTGAATTATTTGCTTGTAAGAATTGTTAGGCACCACTATTGCGTTAATGAATTAGGGACACTTGAAATCAGAGCTATACAAGGAACACTCTACAAATTCCAATGCTTTCTTTGAGCTATGACTTACTCCTTAAATACAACCAGAATAATGAATCATTTTGTAGCTGGAATTTTGTTTACACCATCTTATTTCTGTTTTCCTATCACTTCCAGGCAACGTCTAGACTGCAGGCGTCTTTCAGAAGAAGCTTTTCCAGAAGAGATCTTCTGAAAAAACTTCTTCCGAAAGAGAGTGTCCTCCCAGCTCAACCTGTTGGTGGAAACCCCATTAACCCTTCCCCTGTACCTAGACCTTCTGATGCAGCATCAGGGGTTTCTCAGGCACCCAGATCTGCGCTCCCTCCATCTAACAAAATGGAAGCTGGATGGCTCAATTAATTAGAGCTTCAGTGCTCAATCCAGGTACAGGTCTTACTGGGCAGTAGAAAGCCATCTGCCAGAGTGGCATATTTAGCAAAATGGAAAAGGTTTTCTAACTGGTGCAATGGGTGGGATATGTCACCATGGGTATGTCTACACTACCACCCTAGTTCAAACTAGGGTGGTTAATATAGTCAATCGAAGTTGCAAATGAAGCCCGGGATTTAAATATTTCTCAAACCTTTCTCAAACTTCTCGAACCTTTCTCAAACCTAATTCGAACTACCTACTCCGTGCCGTGTGTAGTCGTGTCAAACCTTTCTCAAACCTAATTCGAACTACCTACTCCGTGCCGTGTGTAGTCGTGGGCACGGAGTCCGAACTACCGGGGATTTAAAAATGGCGGCACCCGGCAAGATGCAAATGAAGCCCGGAATATTTAAATCCCGGGCTTCATTTGCAACTTCAATTGACTACATTAACCACCCTAGTTCGAACTAGGGTGGTAGTGTAGACATACCCCAAGACAGACACCCATCCCAGTGTTGGAATACACCTAAAATCTCAGGGGCTGGCAACCTCCTCAGTCAAGGTACACTTGGCAGCACTATCCACTTTCCACCCAGGTTGCTCCCAGCACTCCCTATTTAGCGACCTCATGGTGACCCAAATCAGGAAAGGGTTGGACAGGTTGTATCCATACTGTTGTCCACCTGTACCTGCTTGGGACTTGAATCTGGTTCTCAATAAACATTTGGGTCTGTCTTTTGAACCAATGGCTCAGTGTTCTTTGCTACATCTGTCTATGAAGGTAGCTCTCCTGGTGGTGGTCATGTCAGCAAGATGGGTGTCTGAGCTAAGGGCCCTTTCCTCAGACCCACCATACACAGTCTTCCACAAAGACAAAGTGCAGCTTAAGCTGCACCCAGCTTTTCTGCCAAAAGTAGTCTCCCACTTCCATCTGTCGCAAGAGGTCTTCCTCCCAGTCTTCCACCCTAAGCCTCACATTAGTGATAGGCAGAGGGTATTGCATACACTGGATGCAAGGAGGGCTTTAGCCTTGTACATAGGCCCTGTAGGAAATCCACACAGCTGTCCATGGTTATAACAGAACTGATGAGGGGTGATCTGATTTCTGCTTAGTGCATCTCATCATGGATCGTGCGTTGCATAAGCATCTGCTATGACCTAGCTGGGGTCCCACCCCCTCCAGTCACAGGCTACTCAACCAGGCCCCAAGTTTCGTCTGTGGCTTTTCTAGCGCAGGTCCCCTTGCAGGAAATATGTAGGGCAGCTACATGGTCTTCCATTCACACATTCATGGCCCATTACGCAATCAATAAGTCCTCCAGAGAGGATGCAGTAGTTGTCAGAGTGGTCCAGCTGTCTGTGATTCCACCACTAGGGGGGTAACAGCTTGGGAGTCATCTGAACTGGAATCAACGTGAAGAAGCACTCAAAGAAGAAAAGACAGTTACCTGTTCTGGTAACTGGTATTCTTTGAGATGTATCGTTCACATCCATTCCAATACCCACCCTCCTTCCCCTCTGATGGAGTAGCTGGCAAGAAGGAATTGAGGGAGCACAGCTCTTTAATGAGCCCCACCCAGAGGCTCAGAGCTCCTGTGGAAGGGGAGGTCAGCTGATCGGAATCAGGGAGGGACCCTCTTGTTGAGCAGCAGGAGCAGCAGCTACCTGCTACAAATGGAGGAGCTCAGAGCGCAGGTAGAGAGGGGAGATAAGGAGGGTGAAGGAGGGAGTAATTGACCAGAGGGGACAAAACTCTCACACTGCACATTGGTAGTATGGTATTTGATATTAAGAGTCAGATTCTACTCTCATTTATACCTTTATAAAACAGGAGCCTACAGATGTAACTGAGAATTTGACCCTAGTCAGGTGTTTTCTTCCAGTTGCATGTGTGTGCATAAGGAACTAGAGGAGTAGAGCACTACAAAAAACATAACCATATTTTTTCGGTATGTTTAGCTGCATTTTTAATCCCCTATGTATAGGGAAACATGAATTAATTTTAAATCAATAGGCCAAATTGACTCCATTATACTGTAGTAATTTGGTTTTTCAAGAGTGTAAATTAGTCAAAGTTAAACTCAAATTTTTGTTAGGCCAAATAATTCCTTGATTGGCACATACTTCATATTTATCTTGTGGAATAAGAGTTAATCACAGACTGAAAAACAGACATACAAATTCTGGAGGAGCATGTGGACAGGTATCATTGCTATGGAAACATGTAGTTTTGAAGTCAATTACAGATGAGTACACAGGACATGGTGTGGCTTCAGCAACACTATATCTCTCAATTGACACTGTGTATGAATACTGGAAGAATTGTAAAGGCAGATGAGAAAGGGTTCATCATGTTGACCAGCAGCAAGTAACTGCCCCATCATCTAGTCTGGCAGGGTCAACTAGTGTCTATGGGTATGTCTAGACTACATGCCTCTGCCAACAGAGGCATGTAAAATAGGCTACCCGATATAGTCAATGAAGTGGGGATTTAAATATCCAGGGCGTCATTAAAATAAAAATGGCCACCGCGTTGTGCCAGCTCAGCTGATCATCGGTGCAGCTCATGAGTCGAGACGTGGGTTGGTCAACAAGTGAGCCTTTGTCGACTGCTTCCTTATGCTAATGAAACAAGGTGAACAAGACAAAACTTGTTCCACTCACAAATGGAAAATCTTAGGGTATGTTTACACTAGCTCATTAATTCGAGCAAGGTAGGCAAATGAGGTGACCGGAATTGCAAATGTAGCTGCATGGCAGTGAGTTCGGGCTAGTGAAATTTCAAAATGGCGACCGGATGGGAACATGCAAATAAAAACCCGGGATATTTAAATCCTGGGCTTCATTTGCAATTCCAGTCGCCTCATTTGCCTACCTTGCTTGAATTAAAGAGCTAGTGTAGACATACACTTAGAGGGAACACTGAGTGTGGACAGACTGTCTCCCATCTTGACTCCCAGCTAGGCTGCAGGTGCCTGCCAATCTGAGAAGCAGGATTTTAGGAGCAGATTGCACAGAGGCAGGTGGGATAAAGAGGTGGGAGGTGTGTGCTGGCAAGTGTGCAGTATGGTAGAGGCGGGAGGCAGTTTGTTTGGGGTGTCCTGAATCACTTGTTGCTGTCCAGATGGGAGAGTGAGACCCTCTCTGTCTGTCTGCATTGGAAGAGGGGAAAGCAGGCTGCATGGAGAGGGTGTGTACCAGATTTGCATGATTACATTTCAAACAAAATTGGCATAGGTGTTAATGGCTTAAGGTAAGAAGGAAAAAGATTCTTTTAACAGAATTTTTTGGAGTGATAGAGATATTGAAAACTCTAATCAATTATTTTTAAAATGCCTCAAGATTATCTCATCTGACAAAGTGAGTTTTGCCCACAAAAGCTCATGATATTATAGATATGTTTTTGTTAGTGTCTAAGGCTACATCTAGACTACAGGTTTCTTTCACAAGAAACTTTTTTTGCAAGAGATCTTCTGAAAAAACGTCTTTGCAAAAGAGTGTCCAGACTGCAAAAGCGCATTGAAAAAGCAACACGCTTTTTTCGAAAGATAGTGTCTAGCCTGCCTGGACGCTATCTCACATGCAAGCAGTCATTGCTATAGACAGAATTGCCACCAGGGCACCTGTGCTTTTTCCTCTTCCCTCTTCTTCCAGAAAAACTCTGTCTTCCCCGTCCACAGGGGAAAGAGCTCTTTTGCAAAAAGGCTTCTTTCTCATAGAATGAGGATTACAAATTGCGCAAAAAGCCCTCTCTTCTTTCGATTTACTGTCAAAAGAACGTGCTTGCATTGTGGATGTAACTCAAGTTTTGTCAGAAAAATGGCAATTTTTCTGACAAAACTCTGTAGTCTGGACATAGCCTAAGATGCCACCAGACTACTTGATGTTTTTTTTTTAAAGTTGTTTTTAAAGTTACAGACTAACATGGCTACCCCTCTGAAACAATTAATACATGATAAATTGTATTGCATTAATACATCTTGCTATATAGTAGAGTACTGGCCTACATCTTGCTATTTAGTAGAGTACTGGCCCTTACGAGTCAGAAGTAGGAAATAGTAGGGGTGCATCTAGACTGGCAAGATTTTGGGCTAAAGCGGCCGCTTTGGCGCAAAAACTTGCCAGCAGTCTACACTGCCGCTTGAATTTGTGCAAGAGCACTGACTTTGTATTGTACAAAATCAGTGCTTCTTGTGCAAATACTTTGAAGCTCCCGCTCAGGAATATGCCCTCTTGCGCAAAAATACTTGTACAAGAGGCCCAGTGTAGACAGGCATCTTAATTCTTTGCTCAAGAAAGCCTGATGGCTAAAATGGCCATCGGAGCTTTCTTGCGCAAAAGCACATCTATACTGGG